AGAAGAATGGACATTCACCTTCTGATGTGTGACTTGTATCAGTATTAATGTAGTGCAAGATTTATACATTTTTATCCTGATCTGTAGCCCACCAGATTTTTAGAAAAGCCAAGTGTTTAAAATCACAATTTCATGCCGAATAACGTATTGACTGTAACTTTATCTAGGCTTGTTAGGAAACTTATCTTATGATTTTTCATATTATTGTTTTCAGGGAAGGCTATTCTCACCATTCTAGCATACATGTATGTCTTTCATTTCATTAGGAAGCTACATCAAAGGTAAAAGTTAGCTCCTAACCTGCGCTTTACATATGCTGAAATTTGGTGAAACTTGCTTTACATATGCTAAGAATCATTCTTCCAAAATTAATAGTCATTTGTAATTATTGAATGCCTTGTTTTTTAGTCCATTGTAGTTTTTGCGTCGCATTTCCTCTTCTTGTTCTCTTTCGTTCTTTCTTGTTTCCCCTGCATTGTTTCTGCTTCCGTATGGTTTAGCAGCGCTTAGTAAAATGGTTATGCTCATCTTGACGGAAAATATACATTCCCTTTGATGGACTAAAAAGTGGGGTTGCTTTGAACAGTATTGTTAAGTTTTTAATATGAGTCATATGAAGGACTTGAGAAATATGTTACCATGATATTAAACTTATTGACTAATTTTTATTTATTTATTTATTTATTATGTTTCAGTGGGAGAAGAGAATTGATCAAAGTTACACCCAAAAGGAGATTGATGAAGTGCGTGGTAAAGTAGCAGAATTTCTAGGGGAGTTGTAGGTAGACCTTGGGAGTGAGTTTTATGGGTAACTTAGAAGAAAAATTTATGCTCAACAAATGCTTGTGATGAATTCTTTTGTATTTTGGAGCATTTTGTTGTATGAGATCACATTTGATTACATTTTTTAATTGAAATATTTTGAAACATGTTTTGAGAATTGAAAAGGTCCATTAATTGCAAATGAAACAACCCAAAAAGAGGATATTAACCCACAAATACCATTACAAAATATCACCACTTAGACGACGGTAACAAAATTCTACCCTCGTCTAATTACCATTAAGGCAACAAAAAATAACAAATAGATGACGGTGATCCACTGTCATCTAAATTGACAAATAGATTACAATGCATCACCATCGTCTGAACTGTAAAACCATTTTCTAAGTGGTTAACAGATGACGGTGAATCATTGTCATCTAAAGTGTCACAATAGACGGCGGTCACCTATACGACGGCGTGGTAGCACATTAGACGACGGTGGTCCAACGACGTCTAGAACATTTTTCGTTCTAGTGAAAGCAAACAGTCCCTCCACACATATTAAAAACATATATAGGGAGAGAGGATCTCCCTGACCAGCCCTTTCAACGACACAATCATCCCCGAAGCCACCCCCTGAACTTGGATAGAATAGGTAACAGTGGAGATACAATCCATGATTAGACTCACCCATTGATCATTAAAACGTAAGCTCTTAAGCATAGCCTCAATATAAGACCATTCTACTCTTATGCTTTAAACATATCAAAGCTTTAACACCATTTTCTTCAACTTACTCCCTCCATGCCTTTTTATAGCATGTATGCTTTCAAAGGTAGCAACAATGTTATCCGTGATCAATCATGTAGGGGTAAAAAGTGCTCTGAAACTCCAAGATGATAAGGGGCATAATGGGCTTCAACCTGTTAACTATCATCGTGAAATTCATCTTGTAAATCACCATACAATACAAAAACTAATCGGCTGAAACTCAGTGACTTTTGTTGGCTTGTCCACCTCAGGAATAAGAGTCAGAAGTGTGTGATTAACTTCTTTTACACTGGGGCCCCCATTCAAGACATTGAGGTAGAAGCCAACCACATCTCACCTACCACCCCCATACTTCTGCTAGAACAACGTCGGCATACCATCCACTCCTGGAGACTTAGTAGGGAACATTTGTCTCAATGCAGTTTCAATTTCCTCCTGTAAGAAAGCTTGATTGAGGTGCATATTCTGAGCTTGATTCTTGATTGAGGTGGATATTCTGAGCTTGATTGACCATTGGCTTGACCACCTCAGTAACTACCCCGGACTCATTTATTCCATTACAAGTAAATAAAACTTGAAATAATCAAAGAAAGTAATGCGAACGCTTTCAATAGACGTGCACTAAACCCCGTGGTCGTCTATAATATCATGTTCTGTCGTCTCAACATCTTTTCCCTTTCCAGTAGCACATCAATCTCACTACTTATATTTTTCTATTTATACTCAACTACGGGTGAATAGCTTCTCCTTTGGATATCATCTAGTTTCCTCTGGAGGATTCGAAGTTTTGTGGGTATGCGCCCCACCTATTCATTATTCCATGTCCACAGGACCCTTGACAGGCCTTCAATTTCTCTATTCCATGTTCAGACTCCAAAGCATGAGTGATGGTGTCCTGACAACCCTCAACAGTAGTCCACATCTCAAACAAAAATCGGCTCTTCCTATTCTCCCAATAATCGGGCCTCACATACATTAACAAAGGAAGATGGTCAGACAAAATAGAATTAAAGATGATACGTTGTTGCCTCTAGAAAAGTCATAAAAAAAATTTCACCATTAATTAGCCACCATTCTATCCAACCTAAGTTTATCATTCCCGTCACCCTGCCATCTGTTAGATCATGTAAATTTATACCCCTTAAAGCCAATAGTAGTCAATCCGCAATCACCTAAGGCTTCCCAAAAAGCCCTCATCTACGACATGGGTCGGAATCTCCGACCAAAGTACTCATGGGCCTTAAGAATTTCATTGAAATCACCTCCCACTAGCTGTGGGCCATGAATAGACCCTCCAATTCGATGAAGCAAATCCCAAGAGTGTCGTCGTAGCCTCGTATTGGGATTACCACAAAACCCAATAAAACGGAAAGTCTCCATTTCCACTCCATGCAAAATGACATCGATATGCCCTCGAGAAGAAGAAAGAGCAATTACTTCCACTCCCTGTTGCCATAATAAAGCTAAACCACTAACAAGGAAACACTATAACGCCTCATCATACCCAATTGTCGTTGCACACCCTTCATCTAGTGCACCATCTTTTTGGTCTCCGATAAAAAGACGACACAAGGCTTTTTATCTTTGAGAAGGAATCTCAGAGCACAGAATGTTCACAGGTTGCCTAGACCCCAAACATTCCAGCATAATATCGTCATTTCTCGTGATGGGCCTGGCCCCTGGGACCCATAACCGGTGTGTGATTAGCACCATATGTAATATGAGCACCATCTCCCCTCTTTGTAAACAACTCCTGATTTCATTTGATCCTTACTCTTCTTGAGACTCCTCTGGGACTGAGAATTGCCCACACGAAAACCACGTTGTTTACTACCCTTGCATAAAGAATCTGGTGGCCTGGAGAGAGCAGGAGCCACAGTAGGAAGGGTCTGAGAAATGTCCCCTGCCATATTATGTTGACTTGTATCGAAAATTGCAAAATCCTAGACTTTTCGGTTCACAATCACTATCCTTGAAATATGGCCTTCCTCCACACCATCTGCACCCTGTGAAAGAGCCACAACCTCCCTTTCCTTGTGCACTCGGCGCCTTTTAAAGACTTACGCCGGAAAGCAGTCCAACACACTATCCACCTCTATCAAACCTTGCCCTGTAAAAGCGTCATCAAGAGATCGAACCACCCCCGTAATCTTGGATGGAGTCTTAACCCAATCCTCTTGCTGAAAGTCATTGTCTAACAAACCAGAACGCTTGCCCTTCAAGTTGTTCTCTGCCAAATACGACACATATCCTTCATTATCGTTTTCCACCTTCACCATTGTTCAACCTCTATAGCCCCTGAAGCCTTGATACTGCATGAAGAACCCACATGGTCCAACCATCCACAGTATAAACAAAAATACGAGAGATGATCATATTCTATCCCATACTGTTTGGCCGGTTTATCTGCCGAAAGTCTAAGCGCGACACACCTTTTCAGCGGCTTAGTGATTTTCAAACCAACTCTAATAGCAGGAAACTCCCCAAACAACCTCCATTTAAGCCGCGATCCACCATGTAAAATGTGCCCAAAAAATTCCCAAATTTTTCTCCCATGGCTGGCGTCAAAAATAGCGGCGGAATACGCCGCTCTCTAACCCAAAAAGTTTATGTATCCACCGAGATGGACATCGAATCCACCTCACCATCAATACCTGCCAGTAGTAATAGCGTTCTATCAAAAGTCCAAAGGGATCCCTTCTTCACCTTCTTACAGTCGAAATCAGACTTGAAAGAAAAAAAGGAATCTCTTGGGGTCGTCCAAAGACACCATAGTGAACTCCTCCCTTATATGCGAAATCTTCTTCATCGCTCCAAATAAAGCCTTCTTGTGAAATGCTTTTGAGGTGTGTAACTTCCCAACCAACAAGAAATGTTCAGCCTTTAAGTTCCCCAAATCCTCTAACCCGACAACCTCAACTTATTTAGATTCTGAGATTGCCAAGTGAGAGGTTAGACCAGACACCAGATCATCAACAGCCATCGTAATCCACTAATCCACTCGATGCTTCCCACTGCAATCCGAAGACAAGAAGATAACCCTGCTTGGACAAAACTTCCACCATACATGTAATGAGAAAGATGCCCTTAAGATCAGCCATAAAATACAAGCAAAAACTTACAGAACCCTACCAAACCCTAGTCTTCAGACTGAGGGTGCTAGAAAAACCCTAACCTCTTCGGAAGGGATGAAAATCAAATTAATAATTAATAATAAGAGAGAATTTGTTTGAATTAATAATTAAAGAGTATTTTATGAATAATGGGTGGGTGAAAAGATAAGATTGTGTGTGGGGAAATAGGATAAGGGGTTAGAAAATGCAGCACTCTATGTTGATACACTGCTGCTCTGAAAAACTCATTTTGGTATTGAGAGCTCCAAAAATTTCATCCATCGTCAAAGATTGTTGCCATTTTTTTAACACTATCTATTTGGGAAGTTACCTTTAGGAAAAAGAATCAGCTTATACCAATAATATATAATACCCCTTGCTTGCCCAAAATAGAATCATAACAATGTGCACCCTCAAACACAATGAACTCAATCTTTTTTTCTTGAAATTGTATTCCCAGCAAAACAGAACTAAAAACTATAGACATGGCATTTTTGCTGCGGTATATTTTACGAGATCAGCTAATCATAAATGTACACAACAGGATCCTACTGGTGCGGTTCGAAGGTCAGATGCACATCAGCGGCAGGACTGACCAGCCATCTGGTGATGAGAACCTACATGAAGCCAAGATATTAGTCCCGACACTTGACAACTACAACGCTGGGTGCAGAGACAACTCAGAAAAAGGCTGAACTTATTCTTCGAAGCTGATATTTTGTTTCCGCTGATAATTCAGATGGCAACATCTTTTCAATTTCCTGCAGAGAAAAAAAGTACAAAATGAAACAATGGAAAAGCATTTTGGAATGGTAAAATGACATTAGAAAAACATAGCATGCTTTATGATCGAACCATCTCCAGAAAGCCAAAAAGAACATGAGCAAATAATCCCTTCATTGCTGGTAACCATGTCGACCTTCTGACAGATTCAAGTACTAATGTCGAAGTTGATAAAGTTTTTTGTGCTTACCATACTATAAGAACCATAAGAAGACGCAGAAAACACTAGCAAATAGCTAGATAGGTTCCTGTGGCCACAAATTCCTTGTATCACACTATAAACCATAACATAAATAAAAAGCAATGTAGTTAACACCACAAATTTTTTTTCGAAAACCACCTTACCAAGTAATTCTGTAATTTCTGATTGGGAACCCAATTTTCCTACATCATATTTGAGATAATGTCCCAGTGAAGTACCGAGGCCTTTTATCGCCTAGTTTGCCTGCGTGATGTCTTCATTTCTTTCTTGAAATGAGTTGTTTATTATATATGTGCATCTTTATACAAGGATGAAAATATCGGCTGATATCCAGATATGCAAGTGTTTTCGAGTGTCAACACCAATAAGAGGGGGTGCTGAAGACAATTTCTTCCCCGGTATCCCCGGAATTTCCTGATATCGGCAAAATACTCCCAATATCCACAATATTTTGCCGACATTATCATTTAACACAGCAAAAACTAATGATTTTCTTAAAAAATGGATCCAAAATAGCAAGAGGAGTAAGAAAATTTAGACCAAATGAACCCTAATCAAAACCCAACTAAAATAAAGCCTACCTCTATGTCACATGATTAATGTATTAGGCCTCATAATTATGTCTTTAGCATTCTTAAGTGTATTCATGTGGTTCTTTTCCAGATTCATTTACCAATTAGCCTCAAACAAGGGCTACTTTGTAAGCTTTTAAAAGCTGAGTTAGTGAAAGAAAAAAGTCATGTGAATTACTGCTTGTGTGTGAGGCACAGGTTGACTTGGAGAGTGATTCCAAGGCACCTTCGGTGTGATGCCGAAGGCCAGTGTGATGCCGGAATTTTCTAATCTCTACTGGAAACCTTTGGTGTGATGCCAAAGACCTGGATGAGTCCAGATCTCTTTTTTCTTCCTATCCATTCTTATCCTGCATCAGAAAAGCAAAATTACTTCCCCATTCCCCACCACTACAAGAAAATAAGGAAAGAAGGAAACAAAAGAAGAAATGGAGCCTCTAACCACTATATTAGAATCCCTATCCATTGACATGTAAGGCATAACCCAACCACTTCCCAAAGGTACCCTTCACATTTAAGGCATATTTGGTTTAATGCTGCTAATGCCAAAGGTACCCTTAACGAAGGAACTCTCCCCAACCACTTCCCAAGCAGTCACATCATATGCACCCATCCCAATACCACCCTTCTCACGGCAACAAAACCAAATTTCCCACTTTTACCAAATGAATTCTATTCCTTAATCCAAAATCTTTCCACACAAAATTTTCATTAGTTTCTCTAAGCTTTTGGCCACTTGCTTATAATTGTAAAGAGATAAGAAAATCGTTCAAAAGAGATTGAATTAATATAAGCACATCCTCTAGATAAATATGCTGTTTTCCACTCTTCCAACCTCTTCTCTTCTCTACTTTCTCCACAATTGGATCCCAAAAATTAAGAGTGCACGGACTGCTGCTGAACAACTATTCCTAGGTCAACTACACAACCTGCAGCCTCCAATTTTGGTTCTTGCTAATTCAACTTTTAGACCTATTTACTGTAAAACCAAATAATGCATAAAAAAGGCTCAACCGTCAGATTTAAAATTACCCTGTATCACACAGAATTTGCAAATGAGAAACTTGTAAACTTTCCTACCAATTAATAGTCTCTCTACTGGCTGAAGCTCCTTTGCAATATCCACCGAACGACTTAAAGTGTCAACCACAAGGTATACAAAAAAAGGTCAAAGTGGGTCACTGACTTCAACTCCAAAATTTGTCAACCACGGAACTACTTTTCTCCATCTCTCAAACTGTCACCTCCAAAACAAAATTCAAGGAGTCCCATCATGGTATCCATGATTTTCACAATTCTTTGTAATTTTCTTTTTTTTTTTTTTAATGAAGGGAAAAAAAAAAAAAAGAGAGAGAGGGGTCTTGTTAACAGGATCTCTTCTGGCAACGCAAAAGTAGTTCATACATTAAAACAGGTGTGACTTGTCTGAGTACCAGAGACATTAATCTCTGTAGCAAGATTAAAAAAATACACAAAATTGAAACAAAAAGAAAAACAAAGAGGAAAAACCATAACTAATAATGCCGAGTATGCGCGAAGTGATAGAGATTAACCAACATAATAGAATCTTTTGTTATATAGGAAACAAACTATCATTAAAGAGAAAGAAACAGTACAAAACAATGGACAAGTCCCTTGATCAGAGATCAGGAGAGCTCAAAAAACAGCACCAAACAGCCTAAAAAACAACAGTGAACCAGACAAAGAAAAGAAAGACACTAAAAAGCACTCGATTTACAATTTGAAACATTTGCAAACAAAGAACTATCCCAAAACTCTAAAGAGATCAAAGACCTAAGAGATGCAGGAAGCAAACACTTTCCCACAGATAATCCACCTCGTCACCCCTCACATGTCAAATATCTTACTCTCGTCTCCCCCCAAAGTACCCAAACAATAGCCACCACCGCGCATCTTTTAGAACCATACCCTTCTTCCTCCCACCAAAAAACTTATGCCTCTAACAAAAGAAAGCCATACTCAATTGTGATAACCCAACACAAATTGGCCTCCCCAAATAGCTTTAACCAAAGGGGTAAGACAATTAGACTGTGCAGGAAGAACTAGTTCACACTCT